CTATGTAGTTCAGGCTGGTCTTGAACTCACTGTGTAACCCAGGCTGGTCTCAAATTCACAGCGATCTTCCTACCTCAGCCTCCTGAGTGCTGGAATGACCAGTGTGTGCCAACACACCCAGTAGCATCACTAGCCTTGTGCATCTGGGCTATGATTAAGTAAAACAGGTGACTCAAGCCCTGGCACTGTGGTACTGGGCATCTGATAAGATTATTTGGCAGCTACTCTGTGAGTGATGGCAGGTAGTGTGGAAATGCTGGACAAAAGGCTGATTCAGGTCCTGGGAAAAGGTGGAGGGGGGATGGAGCAAGGGATCACCACCGTGTGCAGGAGTAAAACCTGGGAATGGTTTATTTCTGAAATCTTTTATTTAATAACTCTGGACCATGGATGACTACTGGTAACTGCAGAAAGCAAAATCCAAGACGAAGGAGGACTGCTGCACGTAAGATGAAAGAGAAGTGAAAATCACACGAGATAGCAACAGCCATAGGACTGTAAGTAATTTGCCTCCCTTTTATAGTGATAGTGTTCCCAACTTATATAAGGGGCATGCATTGCTTTTTAACGAAGGTATGTGCCAAAACTCCTATAGCATTAACAGGCTTGTATCATCAAAGTCAAATTAGCAGTATACAATCACTACACAGATGCCCTGAGATTCTAATTCCCTTATAACATAGCTGCTTTTGTTTCCAGCTCCTATATCAAATATTGCATTTTTAAAAAAAAATCATTAAAAGATTCAATGATCATGTATCTACCTACAGAATTAGCTTAGATTTCCTGTTATCCACATTCTCTGCTGGAAGTTTCCCGTTTATTCTGAGTGTTTCAAGAAGTTACTATACCATTCATTCCTTCCCAGTGATTCGACAAAGATTTTTATTGCTTGTTCTCCAAGGTACACAGCAGTCATAATTAACAAACCCAGCCGTCGCTCAAACCCTAAGGCCAAGGCAAGACGATGCAGGCGGTCAGGCCCATAAATACTGCGTCGAGGACGCTTGCACTGACCTACACTCTGAGAGAAACCCGAAAACATGAGCCGTTCGACATCTGCGAAGTTCCCCACTCCAGAGCTTACAGGCTCCAGGCTCCGAGCAGGGCTGCATGTCCTCTTTCTTGTCATAGAAAACGTTGGGTGGCTTTTTCTCTTGTGCAGGACCTCAGAGAGATGCAGGATGCTCTCCTTTCTCCAAGCCCAAGAATTCCCAGAACCCAAGTTCTCACCACTTCCGGAAAGCTGCCTCCTCTCTGCCCTCCTCTCTGCCCTCCTCTCTTTCTGGATCCTTCATTCTCATGCGCACGGAAGAGTTCCAGAAACACCTAGGCCCAGCGCCTCAGAGCGGCCTGCATGGATCCCGATGATGACCGGCAGGGCTCCCTGCAAATGTTCCTGGGACCTAGTACCGCGCAGGACCACTAGATGGCGCCACAGGCACACAGAGGTCGCAAACCCCACGCGCGGAGCAGAGCTCTGGGTCCGGATCCTGCCGAGGGAGATGCGCTGCTTACTTTGTCACCAGGTGACGTTAGGGAGAGCGTCTCTGTGAACACAGGGGATCTGGGCACCAGCACCCCCTTACAAACTGTGTGTGTGTGCGCCTAAAATTGGGGGGCAATTTTGCTCTACGAAGTCACTGCAGTTTTCAAACTGCGTTGGCTCCTGGAGGCCGGTTCCATTGAACAGCACTTAATCCAAGCAGTCAGGGTCAAGGTGGCGGCGGGTCCTGATGCGGAGCGCGCGTGGCTGAGCGGATCCCAGGCAGCTGCCACTGCCCGCTGCCGCCGCGGTCCCCGGAGGAGGGCCTGGTGACCCTGCGGCTGAGCGTGCGCACCCAGGGCTGGGAGAGTTGGAGAAGGGGCCGCCGGGAGCACCCCTGTCACCTGTCAGCCTTCCCTCCCTGACACACCCCGCCCGCCGGAGGCTTGCTGGACCCCGGATCATCTCGGCACGTGAGGACGAGGACTTGTGTCAGTGCAGGCCACGGGTGGCGGGGCCATTGCTTCCCTGCAGCCGCCGCGCGCCTCCTCTCCCCCAGGACCTGGGCCTCGGGCCCCGCCCGCAGCCTCCTCCTGAGAGCCCTGGGCGCCCTGGACGCACCCGCCACCCCCCTGCTTCCCTGCAGCCCGGGAAGGAGCGCCCTGCACACAGCCCGCAGCAGGGCGGCCCTCCTCAGTGCCCTCAGTCTCCTCCTCACAGGCCCGGCCCCCACACGGGGCTTTGCCCACTGCTCAGGGAGCAGACCTGCTGGGCCTTAGGGGTGCCCTGGTCAGAGGGCAGCCGTGACAGCCCAGCAGGGATCAGGACGGCTGAGAGACAGTCCCACGTGTGGAGGCTCCCAGGAAACACCTGAGGCCTTGTTGTTATTTTGTGGGGTTTTTGTTATTAGTATTTTTAATTTTTAATGAGTAACTAGAAATTGTATATTTTCATGGTCTGTAGAACATGACATTTTGAAACTTGCTTATGTGCAGAATGGCTACACCAAGCTAACACATGCCTCACCGCACATTCTTATCTTTTCATAGTTTTTTTGTGTGTGTGGTAAAATCCATTTAAATTCCACTCTTTTAGCAATTTTCATGTATAAGTTATTAATTAAGGTTTCCCCTTATCTGAGGTTCTGCAGTTTCAGTTACCTGTGGGGAAATGTGATCTAAAAACATTAAATGGAAAATTCCAGAAAAAATTCATACACTCTAAATGGTATGTCATTATGATTAGCATGATAAAATCTCTCCTTGTCACCCTGTCTTCTGCCCAGGACATGAATCACTTCTTCGCCCAGTGGATCCACACTGTCTATGCTACCCACCCATTAGTAACCGTTAGTTATCTCGGTTATCAGACCTGCCTTAATGAAAGCACAAGACTAGTGATGCTAGCAATTATATCACAGCATGTGGTTACAATTGTTCTATTTTATTATTGTTGTTAATCTCTACAATGTCTAGTTTGTAAATTAACTTTATTATAGGTGCATACTGATATTATAGGCAGAAAGCCCATTCAGGCCTCAGTGCTATCAGGCCTCATCAAGCATCCATGAAACATTTTGGAATGATCCCAAGGATAAAGAGGACTACCACGCACTCACCAGGTTGACAATCTGTATCTTGAATTTATTCCACCTGTCTGACTGAATTTTTATACCCTTCCTTTCATAATCTTGTTGTTACAGTGTTTGTTGCTTACTCTCAGCAGATGTTCTCCCACCAACTACACAAATAGTCACCAACCCCTCAATTTCCTGTTTGCTTACCTCCAAGTTTTTATGAATGTGTCAGGGGAGATATTACATGTGCTCCTCATTCCTGCCTAGGTCTATTAAATATGAATTACCCTTCTGGAAACATCCAGAGGCCTGGAAGAGTTCTCCTCTCACCTCCCCCCCAGCCCACCTCTGTCTCTTTGGAATGGCCACCCCGGGAAAGTGATCACAGCTCTTGGGACAGGAAGTGGTTCCCTCCCACACAGGAAACTGTGGACTGCAGCTGGTCCAGTGCCTGGTGGGGAATTTAGTGCTGGCATCGGCAGTGTGTGGGGTGCTGAGAGCAGAGTGAGCCCAAAGACCCCATAGGCAAACCAGCTCTTACTGGCTTCCTGGCCCGTGGTCAGACCACTACATTGCTGGCTCCTTATTTCTGTCAGTTCCAAAGACGGCGGGAAAGGACGCAAGGGTGTGACCATCTTCCCAGACCCCACGGTGAGTGGAGTTTCCTGGTACCTCCTGCCCAAGGCTGCTTTGTCCATTGTGTCCCGGCTGCCATGCCCTCTCTCTTTCTGAAGAATGAAGCTGTATCAGTCATGCCTTCTGCTAAGTATACATCTTCGTCCTCTCTCTCTGCCAGCTCGTTCTCTACAACAGCTAGGTAAGTAGGGAGGTGGGTGAATGGATGGATGGATGGATAAGAGAGAGATAGGTAGGCAATGTTTCCTGCTTAGGAAAAATCCCTCAAACACAAGTCTTTTGCTGGAACGTCTCTCCTAGCTTGGCTGAGTGTGGCTGTGGTCTCCGCCCCTCCCGCCTCCACATCTCCCCTCTCTCCCCTCTTCCTCTGAATGGGGACTCTAGCCATTCAGCTGAAACTGATCTCCCCAAGGCCAAATTGTAGCTAAATTAGGTGCTCACCAAGTGTACAGCATTAGCACTCTCACCAAACCCATTTTCATAGTCCACCCACTTAAGAGTCCACCCCACTGATTTCCTTTTAAGGTCCTTCTTTTGAAACTTGCTCCTTGCCAGGTGCTTTGAGAGGCTTCTCTTCCTCTTGCTGTCTCTTCAACACAGGTATCCCCTTGAGCCTGGCCGGTATCCCTAGCCTGAAACTCTTCACCCTCTCCTTAAACAAGCTCAGCCCTTCTTGTGGTCTGGCACCACCAAGGGGCCTTTCTTCTCCTCCCAAAGAACTCTCAAAAGCCGTAGGACCACCCACCTGCTTTTGGGGACCCAGAGGCACCACACCCAGGACCCAAACTGACCTTGCCATCACCAGCTGCCACCCACACCTGGGAACCCCAGCACTTCAGGGGCACCCATCACCCACGTCTGTAAGGATGGGCTCTTCATAACCAGCCATCTGACCAGCTGTGTGGCCTCATCTCTGGGTGCCGCTGTATGTACCCTCATGCAAGCTGAGAGGGGCCCTGGGGTTCACCTGCAGGCCCGCTCGGGCTGTGCTGCTGGGGCCTGCTCTACTGGCCTGGCCTCCTTCAGGCACTGGAGAACAGGCTTGTCATTTCCTCCTCCCAGGACCACTTCCTGCTGGGTTGGGTGCCCCTCAGTATGCCAATAAAACCAAGGTGCTGGACTCTCCCGTAGAGGGTGGGAGCTCCTTGGGATCCTAGTGTTCGGGGCACTCTGTGTCCACAATGCCAGGTACTGGGTACCAGCTTGATCTCACCCAGGCTTAGGCTGCACTCAAGAGGATGCCCGGTCAGCCCCGGCTCAGCAGCTTAGCAGCTGGGTGTCCTTGGTCCTCATTTGTGTCCATAAACCAGGCTGGTGATTTCAAATGAGTTAGTCCTTGTCAAGCAGTTAACTAGCGGCCAGCCCTCAGTAAGTATTTTCATTTCCAACGTGTGAGCTATTTTCTGTAAAGATCTGTTGATGAAGTCCAAGGGGGAAATGACTTTGTCCTGTGGAGTGGCTGGAGAGGAGTGGGGAGGAGGGAGAGGAAAGGATAAGACAGTGGAGGGGTCATAGCTTGGATCTAGGATGTCCCCTAAAGGCCCATGTGTGGAAGGCTTGGGGCCCAGCTCGGCCCTGTTGGGAGGGGGTGACCTTTAGGAGGAGGGCCCTAGCGGGAGGAAGTGAGGTCACAGGGGCGTGGCTTGGAGCGGATATGAAGACTGTGGGAACCTCCGGCCTCTCTTTCTCGGTTTCCTGGCTGCCCCTAGGCTGTGGGCCGCCTCCTCTGGCGCATATTCCCACGGAAGCAGACTGTGCCACCCCGAGGGCCCTGAGCCAGTGCAAGCCTCTCCTGCTTTCAGTTACGAGCCCAGGTATTTTGTCACAGTAATGGAAAGCTGATCAACGTGGGAGATAAGGCAAACTGTGGGAGAACAGATTGATTATTTATCTTTGTGTAATCAAGAAAAGTAGAAACTTCCATTATTTCTTCCCAGTGTCACTTGTGTGTGTGTGTAAATGCTACACTTTAGTGTCAGAAACTTGAACATGGATCTATAAAGGATATAGCTCGCCATTTATTTACTTTAACTCTAGATTATTCATTAAAAATCAAAGATTATGATGCTTATTTTAAGAATTAATTTAATTCACACAAATTAAATTATGGGTTTAAAGATTTTTCCAAATCTCCTTTGGACAGGAATTTATGTAAGGATGAAGCATTATGGTGATATCATCTTGAGTCAGCACTGTAAGCCTCAAACTGTGCATCTTGTTGAGTTTATAAAATACATTTTAATCCCCCCCCCCCCCGCTACTGTAGGTGTCAGGAGAATGCTAAACTATAAGGAAGAATGAGAAAAAGACATGGAAACTGAGTCAGATATTGAAGCAAATTAAAAGAAGTCACTCCACAGAGCTCTACTGTAAAATAGATCGGAGATAAAGGTATGTGGAAGTTATTTTATGTCCCCTAATAATCACTCTGTGAAGTATTTTTCAGACTAAAGACAGTCCAGTCCAACAACAATAAAAAGTAAATCTTTTCAATTAGATTCACTGGATTCTATTAGAATTCTCTTACATTTTATTAGAACTTCATTTAGACTCACCTTTCAGTGGCCCCCGACTCTGAAAGCTCAGGCAGGTGGTGCCAGATAGCTGACAATGTAACCGGCCCGCTGCCTTCTCCTCAGGAGGCAGTTCTGTCAGGAGGCATAGGTTCTGCTGCCTTCTCCAAGGCTGCACCACGGATGGGGCCACCTGGCCTCCCCTGAGGTCGGCTGGCCTTCGCTCGGCTGGAGAGGTGGGCTTTGTCCCCCTGCAGCCCCCCTGGAGGTTTCTTAGTTGTGACTGAATCTACGGGCTTCTCCTTTCAACCAGCAGAGCCCTACGAGAGACCACGCAGTGTGGACAGCACGGGGTGGGGGGGGTCCTCGGTGTCCTTCTCAGGGCATCAGGGGATCCGGAAAGAAGCATAGCATGGGGAGAGTAGGGGTGCGAGGGCGTGGAAGGGGAAGGGGGTTGAGTGGATGCGGTGCCCTGGCGTGGGGACCAGAGCTGTGTCCCTGGCAGCCACCCTGCCTGGGGACCCCCACGCTGGGAGGCCGGGCATCCTGGTCTGTGCTGTCGTGAGCATCGTACCCAAAGACGGACAAACACACTGTCTAGGCTTGAGGGTAATTCCAGAAAGGCGTTTGCTGCTAACCTACTTGTTACTCATCCCATTAATACTCCTCCGTTCTGGGCCGGGATGTAGCTCAGTGGCGCTGAGCCTGCCTGGCAAGTGCAGGGTCCCGAGTTCAATCCCCAGTACCAAAGAAAAGCCCTCATACCTAATATTCCTCAGTTCTGCCCCACAGGAATTAGCTAGGGAAAAAATAAAACTCAGACTCATTGGTTCTTCAGGGTGAATCCATATATGTTTTTCCTGAGTCTTTTGGTTTTCTCTTTGCTCCTCTGGCTGCTGCCCTCAAAAGACTCAACCTGGTTTTCCAAGATGATGACAGTGGATTAGAGACACACATAATCAGGAGGAGGCCACCCCAGCTGACTAACTTGCAGATTTGAAGATATAATGGCACCGCCTCCAGTCTCTGATGACTTAAATGAATCTCACCTTCTGATGACTGAAGGAAAATGTGTTCCTGAGTGCGAAGAATGGTCCAATTTTCATTACCTCCCAGAGGCAGAGCCTGCGAAGACGCTGAGCTGGGCTGCACAATTCACCGACAGAGCAGAGCTTTCAGGGGCTCCACGGCACCCGTCCTCACCTAGGAAAAGCCCTGCACTCAGCCCATGCTCGGAGTCACGCTCCGCCGTGTCCCGGTCCGGTAACGCAGGGCAGCCTGGATCTCTTGCTTTCTTATGACCCCATCCCCAAATACACCCTCTCAGCTCTATTGGAACAAACCCAAAGTGCGGTATCATCAGTTCTAAACCGAAGGCCTGTTTCCTGACTTTCTATGGAGAACTGTGTGACTTTGTAATTAGGAAAAAGGCACAATTTTTGCTTTTAACTGACAAGTGGTAATTGTGTATATTTGTGAGGTACAGTGTGATGGCTGCACGTACACACGCATTACAGAAGGATCCAGTCAAGACAGTTATCATAGCCAGACCTTGCATTCACACCTTCCTGTGGTCTGTGGTGAAGAATCTATTTTGGCAGTGTGGGAATGGACGAGGCACTGTTAGCTGTGGTCACCACAAAGAGCAGAGCGCTGGACTCACTGCCCAGCCTGCCTCGGACCCTGCCCGAGTGACCACACCTGCTGTCCCCACCTCTCCCTCCTGGGGCCTGTGTGCAGCACCTTTCTGTTCTCCCTTTCCATGAGGCCCACATATAAGAGAGACTATGTACTACAGTGGAGCCTCGAGTTATGACTGACCCGACATACGAACAACCTGGGTCATGACTGGAATCTTAGTTTTAACTTATGACCAGAGTCATGAGTTATGACCCAGATGGTCTCAGATACAGATTTAACCCCTAAAGAGTCCTGGAAGGAACATGACAACATCCTTACCTGTGTGGGGTTGAGAAATCCTGGCCCAGTGTCTCTCTAAGGACACTGGGATCTGCCAGGAGACAGACTCTGAAGGCTGTGTAGAGGAGCCTGAGGCTTCACCGATGAACTTGAGTCACAACCAGTCCTCGGGAACAAATTGAGTTTGTAAGTCAAGGGTCCACAGTATTTGTCTTTCTGCTCCTGGCTGACTTCACTTAGTGTAACGCCCAACAGTTCAGTCCATGCGGTTGCTGATGAGAGCACTGCCTTCTTTTTCAGGGCTGTATGATACTCCTCCGTGTGTGTGTGTGTGTGTGTGTGTACGTATCCTCTTTACCTGCTCCTCCATTCATGGGCGCCTAGGTTGCTTCTGTGTCTTCAGTATTGTGAACTACGATGAAGAAAGTAGGGAAATCTTAACATGAACATTAAAAAGTCTTCCCGGGCCGGGGATTTAGCTCAGTGGTTCTGGCACCTGCCTTGCAAGGACAAGGTCCCAAGTTTGACCCACAAAAAAAAAAAAAAAAGCACACAAAAAAAATCGCTTCTCAGCCTTTTGGCTAAGATCAAGTGTAAAAAGTCTTCCCGATAAGTCAAAACAGAGCAGGACGCAGGACCTCAGTAAGAATAATTATAATAATAACTCTGCCCCCTACGATAGTGCACGTGTTTGGTCAGCAAGCAACACCGGGAGGTTTGTGGTGGTTTATGTGTCTGCATCACTGCTGGAGCCTAAGGACACACCCGGGTCCGAGCAGGGTGTCAGCTGGTCAGGGACCGGGCCAGGTTTTATCAAAGGGTGCATGATAGCCCCTTCCTGTTGGCCAGCTGGGCTCACTCAGTGGCCGGCGTCCTTGAGCCTCCAGGGTGGCTGTGACCCACTGGCTCCATCAGTGGTGTTGGTCCTGGGACTCAGCCACACACTCTCCTGGCACGGGAGGCCTGGGCTTGCCAAGTCCTGGGAGATGGCACAGGGCCATGAGGAAAAGAAGTGTTCTTACTCCGGAGAAAAAGGGGCTTTTGAAAACTGGGCTCTGAACCAACCTTCTTCAGACTGGGAAAGGGGTCCCTTCATTTCCACAGGCCCACAGCCACACCTGCCCTGGCCACTGTGCCACACAGAGACTCCCAGCCCTGGGTGGGTGTGGAGGTGCCTGCGCCCTGCTGCCCTTTAGGGTTCAGCGAGGGCAAAGCCACGCTTGAAGGCCAGCACTTCTGGGTGCATGGATGAAGACTCAGGGAGTCGTGGATTCAGACAGTAAATACTAACTGTTCTGTGGGTTCGCCTGAGAACCAAGGCTGGCAGGATCTCATTTCCCATGAAAGCCTTTGGTCTCCAGGAGCAGTGATTCGGTTTCCTGTGACCACAGCCGGGTGCAGCGATGCAGGTGACTGCTGGACCCAGGGACGGGAGGAGAGCCGCTCAGAAGTCCTCCCCATCACCCAGAGCATCTGCAGGTCTGTCCTGCCCTGAAGGCCTCTCCTGTTATGCTCGGTCACTGAGCACAAGTCCCTGGACACAGAAGCAGCCCCTGCGCCCACCTCAGCACCTGCACAGAGCGTAGGCCCGCAGACGTTCATGGGTCCCACCAGCGCCGTTCACTCCCCATCCGGCTCCCTGATGCCTCTGTGCTGGTCTCAGCTGTCCAGCTAGGAAGTGCCACACACAGGAAACCTCTCCTCACTGTGACAGGAGTCGGAATGCAGCCTGTGGAGACAGGACTGGCCCCGAGACAGCTCGGGAGACAGATGCAATGTCAGCAGGGTTTTCCAGCCCCCTGCCCGGCTGGCCCCAGGGCTTGGCTGTTCTTTCCTAGGAACCCCCAGCACAGCCACCGTCAGTCTTCCTCATGGCAGATGCAGGACGCTTGATTCTGCACCTTGGAAGAAGGCTGCTCCAATGAGGACTGGGGATGCTGGGAGAGGGCAGGACCCTCTGGACCCCCAGCCAGCTGCTATGTCCAGGGAGCTCCATGTCGAGCTGGGATGGCTGGAAACATGGGCACTGCAGCTGGCATCCACGGATTGCGGGGGAAGGGACCCCAGGGGGAGCCTCGAGCCCCAGGGCCGACACGAGCCTCCGCAGCTGAGCCCGGTGGTTGGGTGCTGTGGGGCTAGTCAGTCCCATACCTCGTTTTACCCAGAGAGCATCACATTCCTTCTGCATCACATTCCTGGGACAAGGCTGAGCCTGCTCTGCTCTGGTGACAGCAGCTGGAGCAGAGGCCGAAGGTTCTCTGAGGCCCCAGGATTTGGGGGTCAAGGGAGTCAGTGGGGAGCAGCAGCTGTGTACCCAGCAGACCTGGCCACAGCACTTCACTCATCACGGCCCGGCAGGCGCAGCTGTGACAAGGATGGGTGTGTCACAGTGTGCCCTTCGCGCCCAGTCTCCCGGGAGTTTAGCTACACGCTGGAGCGAGGGTGGGCGGCTCCTCTTCAGGAAAGAGGCAGTGGCTCAGCCAAAGCAGAGCACCTTTTTCTGTTTAACGCTGCCAGCCGTCTTGATCCCCACAGAGGGCCACACTGGATGAGAAGACGCCACATCAGGCCCCAGGCAAACACAGCTGTGGGCGAGTCACCTGTCACGCGGATGAGCCTCTGCCAGGCCCCACTCTGTCAGGGAAGCTGACAGGGTGCACGAGATAGTGGGGAATGCTTGCTTCCAGACGTTCCCAGCCCTTTCTGGAGACGCCCCCATGATGCCTGTCTGAGCTTTTGCTACCTGCTTTCCTTTGCTCAGCATTTGGATCTCAGAGAAACAAATCATCAGCATCTTACCTCCAGCCTGTGTTACCTTTCCCTCTCAGCTCAAAGACCAAGTTCAGGGAAGCACAGGTCCCCAGCGCTCCCCAGTAGCCCGGATTCACCTCAGTGACGCCAAGGCCAGTACGGCCTGGCCGCCACAGGGCTCCTCACCACTAGGAATAAAATGTCTCTCGCCCTGACACAGCTTTCCAGCCTGAAGCTGCCCGACTGGGATGGTGACTGATGCCGGCCCCTCCCGGCAGTGCGCGCGCCCGTGGACGCGCCCTGCTGTCTGGCGCTCAGTGGCTTCCCTGCAGGGTCCCCTCCACCTGCTGTTCTACTTTACACTCCACTTCCCTCATCCACTGACAGACACGTCAGCACGTTCTGCTGCAGGGCACGGCGGCCGGGGCGGGAGACGGCTCCCACAGGCCCAGCACGGTGCATTAGGCAGAGAGCCAGCAGGTTCCATCCGAGGAGGCACTCCGGCTCATCAGCTCCTCCCTGTGCAACAAAATGCCTGGTCATCTAGGGTACAGCAATCAGGGCAGAATGGCTCCAGCTGCAGTGGGAGCTGCACTAGATTCTGAGCCATCGGCGCTGCTCTGTAAACTGTGGGGTTTTAAAGTAGGGCTAACTCAGGGCAGCAAGTGGGTTTATCTTGTTTGGGTTCTCATGCCTTTGTTCTGCACGGGAACCTGGGGACGCTTCCAGGTGTCAGATCATCCACGGTCTCCTCCAGGCATAACGACAAAACAGCACGCTCTGGGAACCATCAGAAATGCATTTTGCTCTGCTCTGAATCCTAGTAGGGGCTTTTCCAGTCAGATAGGATTTGAAAGCTGAGAAATCTTTTTATCTTTTAAGTTAACAAACTGGGCCTGAGACAAGACATTGAAAAGCCCGCAGTGTCGGGCACAGGTGGATGGTAGGAGACAAACTGCCTCACGAGGCTGGCATTGATCCTCATTCAGCTTTCAGTAGATCATTCATTTTCTTAATTGGGAGAAAGCTAAGGGACCGAATGGGCAGATGACAGTTGGATTCATGGTGATGACCCAGGAATCGATCTCCACGGGTGCTGCAGCTCAGCTCAACACTGTGGGGTCCCCCAAGTGTCTGCTGGGTGCGGGCTGAGGTCGACGTGGGGGCCTCAGGGTTTATGGGTGGGCAGGACAGGGTAGACAGACGCGCCACATCGGACAGCAGGAAGCACGCCAGCACCACTGACCCTCGTTCTGCTAAGCTGAGCCTGGGTCTTCACCCATACATGCCCACGTCCTGGCCATGTAAGCTGCTTTCTGGAGGGCGCTGCTCCCTGCTCTGCTGGCACAGTGACTGCACACACCCGCGCTAAGCCCAACAAGGCAGAGCTGGCCACAGAGGCCTCTGGACCTGGACTGAAGTCCCAGGGCTCTGCAGGGCACAAGGAGTCCTGGAGAAGCCCGAAGGGGCCCATGGGAAGGCAGTGTGCCAGAATGGGGCACCTCTGGGCTCCCACAGTCCTGTGGAACTGCCAACCTCGGGGACACAGTAAGCACCTGACAGTCTGCAGGGCCCCAAGCAACACACCAGGAAGAGTCAGCTCCTGGGGTTCTTTAGATTTGGCAGGGCCTCCTCAGTGGGCCTGGTGGGCAGCTCTGTGGTCCCAGTGTCCCTTCCCTGGGCATGGGTTTCCTCCAGTGGTGGCTCTCAGAATACAGATGTCAACCCAGGAGGGCCAGCGGGAAGGCCCTCACTTCCTGCAGGGCACCTCTCAGTGGCCAGACCAGGGGCGCTTGTTTCCTGAGCAGCCCTTTGCCCTGTCTCTGAATACAGCTGACCACCAGGCATCCTCTGTCTGACTGTCCGTCCCTGCCAATGGATTTGGGATAGAATAAGTGGCTATGCATTTGCTCCATCCCCAAGCAGGCTGCTCTCTGTGGGTTTCACCCCTCTGCCAGTGGGCCGTGCTCTCCAGGGAAAGCTGGCCTTGTCTACGATGGCCAGAGCTTGCCTCTCGGCCATGACTGGCCAGGAACCCAGGCCCAAGCTCCTCAGTAACCAGCAATCTGGCCACAGGGGTGGGGTCAGGAATGGGGAACGGCCATGGAGACTCAAGGGCAGGTTTGTGGGCACTTAGAATGGTTTTTGTCCTTGAGAGTGAGCCACGGGCTCGTCTGCCATTCATTGATGGCAGGACTTCCTTCCCTTTGAAGGCTGAATAATGTCTATTGGATGTGTGAGGCGTGATGAAAAATACAGAGAATGTTTAAATACAAATTAAAACATTTATTGCAGTAGAAGACACATTGCCATTAATCTCTCTCGAAATTCTCCCTCTCACATCAAACACGTGTCCCATTTTTTTTTTTTGTACCGGGGATCGAACTCGGGTTCTTGTACCTGCAGGCAGGTGGCGGAACCACTGAGCTAAATACCCGGCCCTCGAGTCATTTTCTGAAGCACTTGTGGAAGCCCTCTTTCATGGTCGTCTTTTCGTGACTGCTTCAATGTCCTGAATTGATTCAAAAGGTTTACGGGAATTTCTGTCAAATAAAAACACAATGCTATGTTCTCATCCACCTTATTCACCACATCTGGCACTGTGCAACTTCCAGCTCTTCCCCAGAGGCAAAAGGACCATGAAAGGGAAACATTTTGAATTGATTGGGGACATCAGAGCAGTCAGGACAGGGCAACTAAACACACTCCAGGAAAGAGGACTCCAGAGCTGCTTCATGAAGTGGCAACAATGGGATAAGTGTGTTCAA